CATAGGAATATATTATGCATGCAGACACATTAAATAAAAGTGAGTGCCGGTGCATAAATATCTAACAACTCAAATAAAGCTCAAACTGCATCATATTTACTTCATTATCTCTTATTAAAATGCTACATATATTGAGAATTTTCATGATCTGTACCAAGTCAAGTATGTGATTATAAAACTCTCTTTGCTACTTCTCTTGTCCGCACAAATTAGCTTAGCGTGACCAACTCTAAAGCTAATAGTTCATAGATTTTGTCTTTAAGTCCATTCCCTCATAAGGTAGGAGTAAGTCTAAGCAGACGCAACCCTCCCCAGACCCATCAACAAATTCAAATAACAATAATTTAGCTAATAGGATGTATTGGCAGAAGGATGTACTCTAATTTAGTTAGCAACCAAATCCAAACACACAACAAAACTATTCTCATAATTAGAATACAATTAGGACAAAATGTAAACTCCATCACACCCTTGCTAGCTTTTTATTTTCCTCTTTCAAAAGGGTCTACATTAACACTAAGAAGTAAGAACACTATAATATGATGACGATCTTTCTTTAAGCTCCTGCTCCATCAACGAATTCCCCCAAATAACAACAAATTAGCAAAAATGATATGCTCTAATTTCAATTTTTCATGGTAAAAAACTTAATCTCCATTCAGGTAAATGATGTACTCTAATTTTGATATTTCATAAACAAAAAATAAACTTTATCTCCATTTTAGGTTTTCACTTTTCTAAATCTCAAATCAAGAAACTATGATAATTGAACAAAGAAAGCAAGAAGAAGCGGCTACATATGAATATTTCTATATTTATCATTTTATTACTAAGTCTTGAATTGGGCAAACCTGAATTTTGGATAAAGAATAAAGTTTTTGAGATGAACTGAAGGAAAAAACGAATGAAGAATTAGGCAAACCTGAAGTGTAATCCGCTATGAAGAGTAAGAGACCATTTTTGAGAGGTGGACTTGAGGTTGAGAGTAAGAAAACAGAGAAGGAGCTATGGATGTTTCTAGAAATAAGTCCTTGTCTGGGTTGTTCAGTAGATGCTTCTAGGCAAATAGCCAGGCATTTACTATTTTGCCCTTCAATTATATCAAAATTTTCAGAATTGCCCTTGGTCGTCTGGTTGGCTTCACCTTTCTATATAATAATAATAATATGTAATGGATAATGGAAATGGATATATAATTTTAAAAAAAATATTAGAATAAGTTTAATTAATTATGATTTAATACTTTGTCATTACTCGAGAATTATGACCAAGCAAAAATATTTATAGAGATGGTAAATATATTCTCCATTCACATTTACTTGTCAACTTTAAACTTTACACGTCAAAACTATAATTGATATAAGTATCTTACTATATATTAATTGATGTTTAGTATAAAGTTTTAAAATAATTGAAAAAATAAGTAATTATGCAAACAGTAAAACAAAAATAATATATCTTTTCTTGATATATTATAAATAATCAGTAAAAATAAAAAAAATATTTTTAAAATAATAGACAAGGAAAAGGTAAATAAACTGTAAAGTACACTTCAGTGCAACCCTCGAGTACTATTCATTATTCAGAAAAAGAAATGTTTGTAATTTTTAGAAATAAGAAATTGGAAGCTATTGATCATTGTAGTATTGCATACTCTCTCCATCCTAAAACACTGGTCATATATTAGTTTTTGAGTACCAAACTACATGAAATTCAACAAACATTTTAATATATATATTTTCATCAATTTTTGCAACTTATATTTTCATAGTATTTCTCGTATAATTTTTAAATATCCAAATCGATATAGTAAAAATTGAATTAATCTAATTTAATTAGCTCAAGAAATTATTCTGATTCTCGATAAGTGAAACATGAAAACTTCGGCGAGGAAATCAGAAAGAAGCTTATTGTAATTTAGCGAGCAATTTCATTTGGCCGTGTCTACAAAGTATTTTTCCAGTATTGCGGCTAAATTAATTCTTTAATTCTCACTTACTGCCATGACTTTTATTTTATGGGGATTGTATGGAAGATGTCTAATTAATTTTCTATAAATTCAAAAGGAAAAAGGGAAAATTGACAAAAAATTATTAAAACAACCAATAAAGTTTATTTATCAAACATAAATTAAAGGATTATTACTTATCTAGTTTCATGGAAAAACATCATTGGTCCGGCCTTTACATCAAAATTAATGATTATGTCATATCCATGACATAACAAAATCAGTCTCGTAATTTTGTGGTAATGTTCAAATAGTTTCCTAAATATATTTGGTCAGTTTAATTTTTCAAAATCGAACAATTTTTTTATCTCGATCAAATATCTAACATACAAAATTTGATCGTGGGAATAGTGGAAAACAAAAATATTTAGTTGAAAACAGAGAGAGACAGTTTAAATTTGAAGTTTATGACTTCAAAGTTTTAATATTGTTAAGTTATTGAGTTATAAACTAATAATTTGTACATATTTAATGATTTTCTTTCTACAAATTTAAAATTTGAACCAAAGTTACTGAGTTCGATTGAACCTGTAATCAACACTCTGGCTTAGCCCTGATCGAAAATCACATATGAAATGTTTTTAGTGTCATTCTTTTTATTAAGATTTACATCTCTTTTTTCACAACTCCGCTCGAATATAATTGGCGAAGCTTCTTGTTATAATATAAGGAAACTAAACGTGCCAATTTTGAAAAAAAAAAATAGAGACTCAAAATTACTTAAAAGTATAATTTTAAGAGACTACTTTGAACCTACTCAAACATTAGGGACCATTTTCATTATTTCTCTATTAAAATCTTTACGTGTTTTTTCCGTGCTTTTAAGGCCAACTATAAATATAGGACACTCATTCTCCACTATTTCCCTATTAAATTATTATATTGCAAACCATCAAGAATATTAGTAAAAATGAGAGTATGCATGTCTTATTTTTTTTTTAAAATTATAATCTTAATCTAACGTGTTTTTTTTTTATATATATATATATATATATACTTGTTATATTTATTTATACAATAAATATATTTCTGGTATTGGTTGAGTTGTAATTGCTGACATAAATTCATAAATTGGACAGCAAAAAGTAGTTATCAAACTATACATAAATGGGAATGATCAGAAATCTAGGACCAAAGCCTTCAAGATAGCTGTTTCTCAACCAGGTACCTACTTCTTCGTCTCCCATAAGAAAATTTGGCAAAATGTTTCTTTACATAAATTATTTGATATGTTAGATAGAGTTATATTAAAGAAAATGAAGTTTTATAATTTTGTTTGGTAACTATAAAAATTATAAGCAAGTAAGCAAAAAAAAATTTAAACTTAGTTAGGTTGGATAGATTGGCAATAGTCGGTGACGAAGCTAAAATTTTCACTAAACAAAATTAAAGTACTTATTCAAATTCAATTTAACTCGCTTATTTAACACTTGTCCCGTTTCCTTATGGGAGATAGCTCCATAAACTAATATATTCTGAACTTACTTCTTGGTACAAAGGGCCTGAGCGAAGAATTCTAGTTATAATTCTTCTTCGGCTTAATCTTTAGTACCGCTTATAATAATTGGTGGATTTTTACTCAGGGGTGATATCAGCTGTTATGCAGGGAGGTGGACTTGAAAATTACAAATTAGAAGTGGTGGGAGACTATATTGACGCAGTAATTCTTACCAACTGCCTCAAGAAGAAATTGGGTCAGCCCAATTGGTGAGCGTTGGGCCTGTTGCTGCTGCTACTTTCAGTAACAACAACAACGAAAGGCCTCACGCTTTTTCTGTGGTGGCTGATCATCAGCCACCGCAACTCAATATTTACCGTGGCATACCTCAATACCAAGTTTACGAAGATACAGGCCCAAATCCAGAATGTTGCTCCATAATGTGAATGCAAAATACTTAATTGGAATATATAACTTATATGTATAATAAGATGTGGTCTCTAGATCGGAGCTATTGATGATCTAGCTAGTGGATCGATCGATTACCTGTTGTGATTTTCTAGTCTGAAATGCTTCTTTTCTTATTATGCATCTCATAGTTTTACTATTGTTGGTACTATTTTTTTGTTGGTAAATTTTTGTTTTTGCAGCTTTACGGTATTTCAATATGTTGTTTATGAACTATAATTTGTTTACTTGGTAAAATTATATAAGAATTGAGAAAATTTTGATAGTTCACAGCTTGTTGGGTACTTTTATGTTTGTGAAAAAAAGTATAACTTAAGAAATTCAAATTACATGTTCAAAGAAAACTTCATATCAGATCAATTTGATTTCGTTTCATGATTTCATATACATCTCCAAAAGATGCCTTTAAAATCCAACCCACATGTTAAAACAAAAAACCTCAACATCAAATTAATCATGTGTAACAAGCATGCATTATTAAAGCACCAATATACTTTAAATTAAAGTATTAACATTTTCTTTAATTTAGCAGTAGTATGATCGTAGACTATTTCCAAAAAATTTAACACTATAAATGATCACCCAAAAATGAACAAAAATAGAAGAGATAAAGTATTGAAAATATTACTCAACTTGATGCAAATTATTAGTTTTATTCCTAAACTACTGAACGCCTTGAAAACACCCTTCGATTTGACTATCTAAACTTAGATACACACTCAATCTGACACATGCCATAATAAGTGGTCTCAAACTCTTGTAGAAGCATGAAACTCTTAATAAAGAGCCGAGAGAAGTGTTGAAAACACCCCTAACCTTAGCGAGAATTTAGGGTGTGTGTTTCATTATGTTGCAAGATAGGGGTGTATTTAAGTTCAGTTAGTCAAGTAAATGAGTATTTTTAAGACTACCAATAGTTCGAGAATGAAACAAATAATTCAGATCGAGTTTAGGGGTGTTTTCAATATTTCTCTTGAAACAGAAACTTGTAAAATGGAAATCAAAACAGCCAATCATCGATTGATTAATTTGCTCCGACATATAGACCGTTACATTTCATGCAATATAATCCAAGTAATTAACATTTCACATAATGGAGCAACATTCCGGGTTCGGGTCGCTAACTTCATAAACTTGGTATTGAGGTACGCCAAAATATGGGTAACTATGGGGTTGCGGATTTGCATCGAAACCTGTGCCCCCTCCCAAGTTGTCGTTGTCGTTGTCACTATCAGTAACAACGACAACAGGGCCAACGCTCAGTAGCTGAGCGTGGCCCAATTTCTTCCTGAGGCAGTTCGTAAGATCTACTGCGTCAATGTCTCCCACTACTTCTAATTGGAAATCTTCACCTTCCTTTATAGCTGCTGATTCCACCCCTATATATGTAAAAGCATACACCAATAAGATCACGATGATATTAAATGGACGAGTTGTACTGAATTTGAAACGCTCTATATGAACAAAATTAATAGATGGATGGGTTCTTATTAATTTTTCTAGTTATGTAAATTGAAATGAACTGGATCAAAATATGATAAACAAATAGGTGGTATTTATCAAAAGAATAAAAATGGCATAATACATAAACATAACCCTTAATTAGGCTTCAACGGACAACTATGCCCTCCAACTTTAGGTATGCACAAGTAGACACTTAAACTTGTATAAAATTGAATAAGTAGACACACATATCCTAAACGGCATAATACATGTAGGACGCCACGTAGGACACAAAATTTTCATATAGGGTGCCATGTAGGACACGTGTGTCTACTTGTTAAATTTTATACAAGTTTAAGTGCCTACTTGTGCATACTCAAAGTTAGGGGACATAGTTGTCCGTTGAAGCCAAGTTAAGGGTCATGTTTATGTATTATATAAAACTTTATATTTCTTTGTCATGGGGATACATAAGGTATATCAAAAATATTTTTTGTCCAAACATTTTACAACTTGTATTAAATAATATTTGGCCCAATTCAAGCTCAACAATCGATCCGCGCCTCAACTTGCCTTAACCTGGATATGATGACGTGTATCATATTTTTATGAGCTAATTTAGTTTATTCACCCACGATAAAACATATAAGAAAATGAGTTTCACAAGTTTTAGATTTGAATAGTTAAAATCAAGAAACTGAACGGAGACGAATAAATACCTGGTTGAGAAACAGCAATTTTGAAGGCCTTTTTCCGAGATTTCCGATTATTCCTATCAATGAATAATTTGATAATCGCCCTTTGCTGTCCAATTTAATTATGAATTTATGTAAGTAATCACAATTCAACTAATACCACAAATATAAGAAATAAAGTAATGCAATATGTTATAGAGCTAATTAATTAAGACTTAGACTAAATTAAGTATACTTAAAAATTAAGACATGCATACTATCATTTTTGCTAGTCCTTGGTGGAAAACTTGTTTTACAATATAGTCCTAATTTAGTAGGGAAAGATTTATAATTCTTGAAATGATGAGAAATTGGCTTGGAGATCGACAATTTTTAAATTTGGAGTATTTATAGATGAAAAAAACACGTATTTAAGACCCAAAAAAAAAAACGGCTAGACAAAAATGACAAAGAGAAAATGACAAAAATGATCCATTATATTTTGGATAAGTTCAAAGAATTTTCTTCATATGTAGTCTTGAGCAGTTTTAATCTATCAAATAATTAAATAAGCTTTGTTAGTTATATTTGAGGAAAATTGTGAATTACGTACGGAGATTCAACACCACAAAAATTAGGAAAGTCATCCTATCAAACCCTGGAAACTACGACATAATAAATTATACTCAACTTATATACGTCATGTATATGACTTAATCGTCATATTAATATGTAATGGACAAGCTAAATTTGGCATAATACATAAATATGATCCTTAACTTGACGCTAGCTGACAATTATGATCTTTAATTTTGGATGTGCATAAGTAGACACTTAAACTTGTATAAAATTAAACAAATAGACACATTCGTCCTACGTACATGGCACCCTACATAGCATTTTTTTTGTTAAAAGATTCTGGATGAAAGACAAAGTATTTAATCATGGTTAAGCTTATTAGGTTATTATGCCTTTATATTTATTTTATAATTTAAACGAAAGTACTAAGCAATGAGGGAGGCTTGTCATTTATTTTTTAAATTTTTCTTTAAAAAACAAATAAAAAGACCGAAGGGCTCACATAAAATAAATATACTTCTTCTATGTAAAGTATTCTAGAGAAGTGTTCAGATGGAAAATAATGTTCTTTTTTTTGTCGACCAATTTAAGTTAATTTAATAAATTAAATATGAAGTATCTTCGAAATTATTGGGAGGTCGTGGAGGATGTTTTTTTTTCCATTTAGTGTCCGAAACTCACATTAAAATTTCGATTAAATTTTTTAAATTATACATTGCAGAGCTCATTCAGGAGTGGCGCTCCCAATATAAGTTGTAGGATATAATTATTAATGACCAGTGCAATGTAATTAGGAAGAGAAAAGTAATCACAAATCGCTAAATTAAATCCACGAGCTTATCAAATCAAACCGTGGGCTTTGCATGTATGGCAATCCACCCACCTCCTGTAATGACCGTAAAGGTTATTTTTGGAAATTTTCATAAAATGACCGTTTTATCCCTCCCGATAATTGCCCCGAGTCCTAATTGTTGTATTTTCGAAGTTGGTTTGAAGGAAAATTGATGAAAAGTTGAGTTTTTAAGAGTTAAAGTTTGGTTAAAAGTGCTATTTTGAGTCATTTGGAATTTCGAGACTCGAATCGGATTTCCGTCGATTCCAGCAGTTTTAGAATGTCGAAACAGGTCTATGAGAATTTACGGAGTCGAATTTGGAGTTAAAACGAAGATTTGAGGTCCTAAGTTGCTAAAATTGTGAAATTTTGATCAAGAGTTGACTTTGGTCAACAAACGAGGTTCCATTGCTCGAAATGGAATTTCGAGGGCACCGTTGGATTCAGGGGGTGATTCTAAGTCTAGAATGAGTCTTGGTTGAATTTTTAGAGGCCCCGAGTGCGTTTCGAGTTTTGAGCCTAAAGTTAGTTTCTTGACGCCTTATCGGATACCGGGTCAAGGAGACCTCAAATTCAAATTCCGACGATTTCATTGAGTCCGAAATGTCATTTTCAAGCTAGTAGCATATTTGGTTTGTGTTCGGGAAGTGCCAAATGAGTTTTGGGTGAGCTTTTAAGCTTCTTGGATGCTTTGACACTATTTCAACAAAATGTGGCAACTAAAGGGTTCATTATTAGTTTTAAAGGTCAAAAAATTATTCCGAAGGTTCTGAAATTTTGAGCATGAATTATAGGACTTATCTGCAAATGTTGGTGCATTTTCGCTAACCCGAGATTGAACTTTTATCGCAAATAAGAAATAATTGTTTACCGAGTAGAGATGATATTTGACTGGGCAAACGAGCATGAAATTGAGCTCCGATTGAACGAGCAGGTCCGTATAATTATTTAAGACATTTACAAAAAAGAATTGGGTCATTTCACTATCGTATGAGGAAATTACGGCCTTTTTAGTGAAAAATTAACTGCTGTTTTTCTGGTGCATAACAACCACGTACTGTTATAAAAATCTCAGACTGTGTTCATTTGGTATTTTGAGCATATTGGGAGTTCTAGAGATCGGAATGGAGTGATTCTTACGGGTTTCTTCTTGAATTAATATGAGGGTTAGTATTCAATCTTCAATTCGACATTTTCTCATAATTTCTTTATCTGGGTTTTTTTTCCCTATCCGTAAATCTCTTGGGAAAAATTGGGGTTTTATCGATTTAGACTCCCTTTTTGATGAAAAAGGTATATTTACGATCCTTATGTTATGGGTAAACTGATTTGAACATAAAATTATTGATTCATCGATTATTTTCATCATATTAACCGCGTACAATTTGGACTTTCCCGGTAAAGTTAAAGTTTGATAAATTGAGAATTTCAAGATCGATCTTAACTCCGTTTTTGATGAAATTTCATATTTGAACTTATCTAAGCATGGGTAAGATGTTTTTCAAGAGATATTTCATTTTCGAGTCGGGGTTTCGGATCCGAATATTTTAGGCTTCTTCAAGAACGTGAATTTTCCTTCAAATTGAGTTTGTGAATTGATTTCAACTCCGTTTTCAAATTGGTTTTCACCATTAGCTTCCAAATACTTTAAGGATCATTTTACATAAAAAATTTCCAGATTTGGGTATCGTTTTCCGGTATGAGACTTTTGGACCATTTTACCCTTTTCCCCTAAATTTCTTGATTTTGGTGTCATTGGACTCGAATTGTGATTGTGAATAATTGTTTGAATAGATTATCGTGATCCGAATTATACTCGGAAAGGAAAGGCTCAAGTCAAGTAAATTTTGGAGTTCGTTTTAAGGCAAGTGGCTTCCAAACTTCTTAAAACTCTTAGACTACGCATGACTACTTTCCTAATTGTGTTGGGGAGTAATGGGGATTGAGGATGAGTTTTATTTGTTGATTGAAATTGTTGTAAATGAAAGATTGGGAATAAAACGAGCTAAATGTGTTATATGTGACTTGAATTTGTTGAATAAGTCATGTGATAACTGATATTGAGGGGATAGAAGAGCATGAGTAGGCTATGATTGATACATATATTGATGTTGAGACAGATGATGTGTAATACTATGATGTGGTCGTGATATGGTTGTGATTGAGACAGGTGATGTGTAATACTATGATGTGGTCATGATATGGTTGTGATTGAGACAAATGATGTGTAATACTATGATGTGATCGTGATATAGTTGTGATTGAGACAAATGATGTGTAATACTATGATGTGATCGTGATATGATTGTGATTGATGACATGTGCATATTCATTATTCATCTCATGTGTGAACTATCTGTTCCATGAGTTCTGAGACACTGATATGAGGATGGATGGATATGAGACACAGTTGAGACTAGCTCCGGCTAGAGATATATGAGATGGACTAGCTCTGGCTAGCGATTTGGATGCCGATGGGATCTGGTTTCGGCGGTGATACATGGTCCATGTGTGGCCCCCATGGGTTCTGATTTGAGTATTCAGCGCGGAGTGATTACGTCAACATATGTGTATCGTAGGACAGACATGCATCACGACTACATGACATCATTATTGCATTCTGCATCACATTTGCCTTATCTTTGTCTGTGATGTGTGGATTGTATCGGTTTACCCTTATTATGTGGAATTTGATCTACTTGCTCTTATTTGTTGATCTGAGGTTGATGAGGATATACTGTTGGTTCTGGCTGTTGAATATGATATGTTTAGTATAGGTTGGTTGGTTTGCTGCTAGATTGAAGTTTCGGTGGTTCGATTGGGATTGAAAGGAGTTGTTTGTAGCCGCTAGTTTTGCTTAGTTTAGAGTTACTTGCGAGTACCTGTGGTTTTCGATACTCACCCTTGCTTCTACACAATTGTGTAGGTTGACAGCTCTCTCAGATTCGACTTAGTATTTTCTTTAGCAGATTGAGCTTCGGGACATACTCGAGAGGTAGCGGTTCATTCCAGACGTACCCTTGAGTTATCTTTACTTTCAATTTTGTTCTATTCAAGAACTATACTCTGAGACTTGTATATTTTTATTCTAATTCTGTATTTAGAGGTTTGTATATGTGACAACCAAATTCTGGGTAGTGTTGAGTCTTAATTAAAGTCTTCCGCTTATTTATTATCTCTTATTCTCGTATTTCTACTTCTCTATCGTTGTGGTTGGGTTAGGCTGACGTGTCCGGTGGGAAATGGACACGTGCCCTCACATCCGGATTTGGGGTGTGACACCTCCCTTCATCATATATATGTAGACGCTAAAAGTTTGCAATTTTTTTAAAATTTAGACACCTAAAATCAAATCGTCGTCATATATATTATTTTGTACATCAAATAAAAACACTCGACTTAAATATATAGAAAATATTGGATGTATCGATGTGAATAAGTTTTTTGCATTGATTTTTATAAAGAAATTAAACAACGTAACACATCACATGATGATAAGTTGAATTTTTAGGGGAAATTTCCTGCTCAACACTTCTTCTTTTTTTTGGGTTAAAACCTTCAAAAATATTACTATCATTTAGTAATATCTAACTTGGTACTCTAGAAAATATTGGTATTTGAAATAAATTGACTTTAACTTATACAAAAATGTGTCAAAAGATTTTTACACGACTAAACATCTTTTACACATGGCAAAGGGAAATATAAATAGTAACCTTGAAGGCCTTGGACCGATATTTCTGATAATTTCCATTCAAAGATAATCTGATAACTACCTTTTGCTGCCCAATTTTTAAGAGCACGTCAGTACCATCAAAATTCAAAACAGTATCACATGGGTATTACAAAGATAATTAAAAATAATAACTGCTA